TCAACTTTCAATTACGGTCTTGCTTAATGGTATGTAAAACCTGTAATAATTGAATAGCACTGATTCATGGAGTGTTCCCATTTAAAATGTGCCCATAAATGGCAGTTATCGAACGCATACTCACGCACAGACATATTTGAACGCGAAAACAGCAAAACATAAAAAATGCAAAAACTCGCGCCGAGGGGAGTCGAACCATCAACCCCACCCCAACTGTCCGCTTGAGAATCCTTCACGCTATCCACTAGGCCATCCGATCGTTGATGCTGAACGTTCCTCCGATCGTTGAAGAAACCATTCCATGAAGCCGTTCACGCTTGATTACGTGCCACAAGTAAGACCCCATACCCCGACTACTTTTCTCTTCGATTCCGATAGTACCTTTATAGGGTCCCTCCATTCAGCAACTGGTCAAAGTTTCAAGCGGTTTACAGCTCGTAGAGGCTCAAAACAATCAGTTTCCATAGGTTTCTTTTCGCTCCTTTTTTGGCATTCCAGGGGCCGCTCAGCCAAAACGAAGCCCACTTTTATGGTTCATGGGCAAGGCCCTACAAAGTGCAATAAACCGTTTCGAAAAAGCGGGGCACGCCCTGAACGACCTCCCTTGTTAGACATGAGCTACAATCATAGACACACTCAGGTAGCTATTCAATAAGAAGCGTACACGGATTCTAAAGCCCCTGTCGTACGGAACCTTATGTCGGGTTTTTTTCTGAGTTTTTAGAATCCTTCATGAGCAAAGATAGAAATTTCGAAGACATAAATCTAGTGCGACAGGGTTAATGGGTACTTCATAAGGGTGGAGTGCCCATTAACCCTGTCGCAAAGGAGGTGCGCGGCAGTTCACTTTAGGACTGAAGGCAAAGATGACGACGAAAATATCTTTATCTCCATGTGATAACAAGAATCCTAGAAACACCAATGCTAGAGCAACTGAGTGGGTGCAATAGGATAACTGTTCCACATAGGTGCATTTGAAGTATGTACAATTTGCAGAAAATATGTTTTGCGTTGTAGCACAGACATTCGTGATGTGGCAAAAATGTTCGTTTGGTATTTAGGTTCTTCTCTTTTGATAGAGCGTCATTGTTTTGTACAGCTGTACTGCGTGTGATTGCATGCGCTAAGGGGCTACCGTACGCTTGAATTCTATTTTACTGCTCAAGGGGACTTAACATTATAGGGGAAGTCAGCGGAAGATGTACAGTGGTGTCCGTTCTTTTTCTCTATGGCTTGCAATCAGCTTTTATCATTTGTTATCATTCCATGTTGCCCACTAATAACGTTTCCTTCCCACCCATACCAATTATCTTTTTGCACTCTCCACGGCTTAATCAAAGGAAGTATGGATTCCGGCTCGAATACGTACCCAAATGCAAGAACAGCCAGACTTAGCGGATTGTATATTTATTTGGTAACGTCGCTACCAGGCGAGGCGATGACATGGCGGACTTAATGAGCTTGCATCCGGCTATCTTTTCTATCTATAGAGACCGGTTTTTGATCGACTCAGGAAGAAAACACCGGTGGGAAAGGCCGTGGGTGAGCTTTTTCCTTTGATCATGAAACTGCCTCGACTGATTGCAACGTTGTCAACGGTAGGGGGATAGGGTGCCCCTCAAAACTAGTTTCCGTCATTCTGATAGCTGAGTCCGGTTTGCAACAGTCCTGTCTTTTTTCTTCAGCTCCACACTTTACTTTTTTTTCTTCTTTACTTTTGCTAGTGTTAACAACAATTCTATGCTCTACCTGCTGGCTTTCCTTGTGTCGGGCTGCAGCAAGTGAACGCTGAGTGAAAGAGTTAACAAATATGAGGGTCATTTGCTTCCGCTGCTCATAGCGGCTGAAAATTCCTCATATCTCTTTCACTCTGTACATACTGTGCGCGTTATACTCGAAATCCTGAGATCGGGTAGGCGTGGCTGCATGCTTCAACTTAACCTGAAGGAGTCTATGCTTCTGGTGAGATATTTTCATCTTGACACAATTGTTGTCGTGTCTCTGTCCAACACAGAACAAGATGACAGTTGTCCCGGACTGGAATATTTCACGAGTAACCAGTTCCGTGCCATATTCAAATGCCACGCCTACTCTGGCTCAGGGATAAGGAGTGTACGACAGCGTCATGATTGCTACTATTACACCTACTCCACCCCATCTTTAACCTATTTTCCCCGAAAGCATAAGGACGACTTCGTGAGAAGTACTGTAACTCAGCACGATCAGTGCTTATCACCACCTGTTTACTTACGAAATATCTTCACCTCGGATCATCAGTGGTTCTCATTTTCCACTGTGAGCCTCTGAAGTCCTGTCACTATGGGAGTACGTTTTCAATGTTTAACTTTGATGGGATCGTAGAACAAGGTGGATTCCAACCTGTGGGCACAGAATTACTTAAGCGTCTGAGGTCGGATAGGCGTCTTTCATTCTTTTTGCTTTCTAATCATCTTTCAGAAGAAAAAGAAGAAATCGAAGAGATTCGATGGCGATGTAAGTGACAATATGTGCGAAACGAGTTCTGGAAGTTCCCGTACCCATTCAGTAACAGTCCTGTTTTGCAGTCCGAATTGTCAGACACAGACTCTGGTTCCACCATATCGGAGAAGACCAAACAGAACGTCTTGCCAGTATTTGCTCAGAAAAGACAACAGGTTCGTCTTCCAAAGTTGAATTTCACCGAGATCTCCTTCAAGTGGTCTCTTCAGGCATTGCCTGGAGCTACAGTGAGACCAAAGAAGCATCCACCATGGTATAGCACACGGATCTTAGAAGAAGAACGACCAGACCTAGCTGAAGCTGATGGAAGGATCAACATAGAGGTTGAGCCTACTGATTATTGATCAAGGCGAGAGGTCGTTCCATATCAGAGGCCGCTTTATAAGAGCGGATGTTGCAATATGTGATATGGCTTTGCCTGACAATGATACACTTCCATTTCTCGTGCGTGCAATGACGAAACGGCCCAAAGGAAGTGAGAAATATAAGGCAGCGTTCAGACTTCGCGACGGCAGCGTCTCCCCGTTCAACGCGACCAATGCAGTCAAAAGCATGCATCGATCTCGTCAAACGCGCGACCGAAGCGCTGGCGTCGCGAAGTCTGAACGTTGCTTGAAGCCGGAGACGGAGCAAGAGAATTCGTAATTTGCCGCTCCGCCGCACGACGATGGGCGCGACAGTTTCTTAACTCGTGTTAACCTGTCGATTGGAGCACCGGTCTTCATGCAGACCCCGTCATCGCAGATATTCATGACTATTTTCGTTTCTGAATTGCTTGTTGTCGCCGTCCTCTACATGGAACCGCCCACATTCGCAGAC